GACGCGGTTCGACGACTCGGATATGCGACAACGACGTGGTCCAGCTGCTACGTTGCGTGGAACTGGGGCCGTCCCGCGGACCAACGCTCCCATAGCCCTGGCATGCGGCGCCGGTAGTGATACCGCACACCTAATATGTGTCACTGCCGTGGAACCACGGGCGGTGCCAGATGAGCAGTCTGCGGCACCGCCAAGGTGCCAACTAATTAATCGACGGTATGTGCAGATATATACAGATGGGGTACGATGACCAATTTAGCGCCAATGACATACATGATTGCACGCAGGGGCGGACCTGAGCCGTGGCCCGAGGCCTAGGACTAAAAGCCCATTGAGATAGTCTAGATCCACCCGTGTAAGCATGTACGCATGGAACATATATGCAAACACATAACTAATAAGTGTACATGCACATACACACGTACGCATATATATCACTAGAAAAAATGTCCGTGCGTTGTAACGTGGGACTGATTTTCTTTTTTTCTTTACAAAATCATAAGCTGCAATTAGGAGTCCGATCGTCTCAAGTTAGCATGCGAGTTTGTTTAAAGAGATTTCTAATAAAACTCTTTCTATATTTCTAAAAGCGAAAGAACTTAAGAAGCGAATCAAATACGGATATGTATTTTCCGAAAGCGAATGGACTTAAAAAACTGACTCAAAAATAGATGACGTACCGAAGTACCGGCAAAAACATCTTCAATTTTTATAATAGTAGAGATAGGCAAAACCCACACGTATAATTGCGTACGTAAGTACGCATAGCTAGGCTATAGCTAGCTAAGCTAGCTGTATATACATATGCATAAGCACATATACACATATGCTCCTGTCGGTCTCGCATGAACAAGCCACGACACCGATCCTCGGTCGACGCAGTGCCGCGTTATCGGTTCCCGGGAGCATCCCAGCCATCAGTCACCGTCTCGGTCCGTCGGCCACTACGCACTCGCACTTCCGAATCGCGGGACGGTCAAGGTTCCGCTCGCTCATTCTATGGGACGGCCTGGCTGCAGGTGGTCCTACGTCTCCGTAACACGATTTGTGAACGCATTCGTATTTTCAATCTGCGGCAATGTCTTTTTCCACGATTCCTAGCTGTTACAGGTGTATGAATACAAAATACTTTTTTAAAAAATATATATTCTCAAATTTTGCTAATATTTTTATACTTTCTAATTAACTAAACTGATAATGCTTTCAAGCTACACAAGTAAACTAGATAAATATTTATCTTAGTTAACCATGGGGGGTGTTGGCACCCTCCGGCACCCCCCCTAGCTGCGCCACTTTGAACTGAAGACGAATGGACGACAGATAGATTTGCTGTTGCTGCGGCTTGAAGATGAAGATGACTGTTTGTTGCTGCTGCAAAAATGGATGTGGGGCGAGGATGGCGAGCAGCTGCTGCTTGCTTGTCGTTGACGAGAAGGGAGATGATGGGATAGATGACGACCCGCAATGGACGGCTGCGCTGCTGCGGGTGACGAAGCCGGCACGCTGCGGGGGGACGAAGGGGCAAATAGGGGATGACTAGCTCGGTGGTGGCCGCCGGCGGCAGCTCAACGGGTAGATCGACGGCTAGGGTGTTGTCCCTTGCTCTAGTACCTTGTCTTTGACTTTAGCCCTCGAGGGCAATATATCTATACAAGACAAATGTTCCATGACCAAAATACCTTTAGTACAATATATTATTACACTAATGATATCTTACTATAAAGTTATAACCTTCATTCTAAATCTCAACATACAAACATACCATCTCATCATCCACTAGCAATAATTACATATAAAACTTACGTAAGCATGCAACATTATCTATAATTAATTGAATTATATAAATCAACATCAAATTATCTTTTTTAACATATATATATCCATCATTTTTATAATTCTTAACATTTATTCATCTATCTAATCAAAGTGCGGGATATCATATTTCATCTACAATCTCATACAGAGTCTATTAAATTTATTTATCTCTTAGCATAGTTTGACAAATTAGTTTTATTTGTTGTTAATAACTATTTTTTTTTACTTTTAGCTCTGTTATTAAAAAAATATTGAAAGTTACTTAGTAATTTCTACAGCAAAGCGCAGAGAATCACCTACTATCCTTAACATTCACTACCAAATCGTACCATGAAAAAGATTATTGGATGTCATGTACTCCCTCCGTTTTATATTATAAATCATTTTACTTTTTTTTTTCTTCAGCAAAGTTTTTAAAATTAGACCAAGTTTAGAGAATTGGAGTCCGATCAAATTCCAAAGTTTTTCCTCAACTAGTCCTATTAGAATTTTATCCCCATAATTTATCAATATAAGCCATTGCTAGCTTGTGTTCTTTATGGTAGTAAAAACATTCAACAACGCAAAATTTATGATTTTAACCATTTTTGCCGGCCATATATAGGAGGTGCCATTATATATGTGGTTGGGTTGGAATTCAGTTTTAGAAATATCTACAAGCTAAATGTTTACTCTGAAAATAATATTTTAGGCAGTCGAGCAAAGTGAGACTAGCGTGATATGAGATCATTTCAGTCGACCTGAGTTCACTACTTCACATAGGATCGGGAGACACCAGGATGACCCGCTGGATGATGATCTTAGTTGTGAGTAAAGATCTATAATTACTCTGTTCCATAATATTTATCGCATGTTGGTGCTGAAAACATTGCTTTTCAACTAAGCTTTCTTTCAGCCAATCAGATATGTATGAGAAACATATCCTAATGGGTGCAAGCATGGTGTGAGAAAGACTACCCGCTATTCGATATTTGGTCGAGCTGCTATAGAGTAAGTTGGACCCCTGGAAATGAGATGTTCTAAGGGGAGATAAGTAAGGTAGACACCTAGAAATGAGATGCTCTAAAGGTAGATATATATGAGAATTCTTAGTCTCATTTGGGAAAAGTAATCATACACTATCTCTAGGTAGGTCGGTGATGATTGATGCATTGAGATTACTAGTGCAACTGTGTATATATACTTTCTCATCTGATTCTCAGTTCTGGATAGAGTTCTAGCTGGATACTACTTCGATTCATGAATAATTTTGAATGACAAATAAGCTAGAATCTCTCGATGAAGCAGAGGTGTAATAACAAGTTTCCAATGCCTTAAACCGGGATCTGGAACTTCAATTGAGAAATAAATAATTTTCTACTTCTAAAACTGACATTAATATCAACCAAGCCTGGCTAAATTGATCAAATGTGAAGAACTAACTCAACTTCGTTTATCAGATATAAAAGTAACAAATCACAGAAGAATAACACTATTCCTTTTGTCTTCTTCTCATATGTTTCTCATTTTTATATCTCACAGATGAAGTTGAGTTTATCGATCCTCGAAACTTTGAATGGTTGTGTAATAGTAATACTACCTTTGCAATTTGTCAAATATTTTATTTTTTCATTGAAAACTTTTATATCATTGTTTGAGATATAACAATGAGAAATTTGGAAGAGATTATAAATAGAAGAGGCGTTAAGGCTATAAGATATCGACTTTTTGGGAGAGAAAAGTTATGGTTTGCTTCGAGGTCTCAATCCTAGTTCATGAGTTGAGAGATGAGTGCTTTAGATGCAATTTGTAGACATATTGATGCAATAAAGTTGATCTACTTTTAAGACTTTCATCAATACATGTTTTTCTAGATCCCGACGGTTTGACCGGTGAGAATGTGGCGGTCTAACCGATGACTTCGAGGTAGTCTGACCGGCGGCAGGGCAGCGGTTTGACTGGCGCAACTTCATCAAGTTTGATGGTAGCTTTTATTTCTGCTAAAAATTTTTGGTTTTTTTTGTTCCTACCATATCCCTCCCCCCATGGTAGACTTGGTTCCTGTGTTCGATCCTACATTGGTCTCTTCTTGAATGCAAGTTTGTTTTTATGTGGCTTGCAGTCTATGACAGATGTTGGACTGTAACATACTGAAAATTTGCTATTTTCTAAATATGCATCATGCCGATTCTTATGTTTTTAATAACTTCCTAAACCTAAGAAATTATAATTAGAGGGACCTCCTAAAACTAACATGCATAAAATCTCTCTTTGGTATTTAAAATCTTTCGTGGTTTTATTCTAAAAATTGATCTTGTTAAATTGAGGTATTCTCTTTGATTTTTGCATCTTAAACCTTCTTTTGATCAAAATTTCTTTTATTCAAATTTAGTTTGAAAACCCTTTCTATTTTTAAGAATTATGGTCCAAGAAATCCTCCAACAATACCTTTGAACCTAAACCGAAGCAATTCCAATTTCATTGGAATTAATTATCGACCATCCTTTGATTTCAAACCTATTCTTATTTATCGCCAAATATCCAAGTTCCCCATTAGCCTCAAATACTTCTCCAAATTCTTGCCAAATAATTTGAGGCTAACATCCTATTTATTTCCCTTCCCTCTCAATCGAGTGCATCAAATAAATTCCGTTATATTCTATCTCTCAAAAGATTGCACTCAAATAAATTAGAACAACCTTATTTTAAAATCCCTCACCATGTATCAATATCTCCGAATTCAAATCCTTTTTAAATCTAGCCATCCAATTTCCTCTAAATCAATTATTTGAATCTCTAGAAAAATTAGACTTTCTTCCTTATAATTTTGGGCCGAATTCTTCTTCCCACTCAGGCGGCCCAAGTCGGCCCAGCTACCCCTCCCAGCCACACAGCCGATCCTCCTCCCTGTCCCGTGGGCGCCGCCGCCGTGTGCCATGGGCGCGCGTGGCGCACGGGCGCACACGCAGCCGCTGCTGTCGCCTGCAGCTTCGCAGCCGTCTTTCCTTCGCCGCTAAGCAACCGCCGCCCGACGTCAGCGCCACCTCACACCGCTGACGCCAGCCACTGCACCAAACCGACATGATCGACCAATCGGATGGAAGGACCGGTGCCGTCGTTCTCTTCTTCACGACATTGCCGCCGTGACCAAGACGACGACCTCCTTTGAGAACCGACCTCCAAAGCCTATAAATACCGGCAAGCCGTCCCTTTTTCTCCCACATATCCGAGGTCTCTCTCTCCCTCTCTTTCTCTCTCTTTCTTCCTCATGACCGGCTGCCGCCACCGTCGGCCGATCTCCTTCACCGTAGCTCCACAACCCAAACCCTCGCGCCATCGGGCTTGCCTCGACGAGGGGAATCCATTTTTCTAGTTTCCCCTCTTCCCTATCCACTCCATCAAGCCACCACAACCACCTCCCTTGCAGCCGAAGAGAAGCTCTTCTACTCGCCGTTCCGGCCAACTCCTCCTCTCTCTCGGCCAGCCACCGACTTCCCCGGGTGCGCGTCGCTCGGGAACACGCTTGGCCGCCGCCGTCGAAGCCGTTCCACCATCGGAGCACCGGCGCCCCTTCTCTCTCTCTCTCTGTTGTTACACGGGAAGAAGAAGAGAAGGCAGAAGATAACGGGAGGAAGAAGAAGAAAGAAAAGAAAAAAGGCTGACAGGTGGGCCCCTACACAGTACACTTTAATATTTTCTAGATTTAATTCAAATCCTATTCTTTAGAAGCCCATATCTCCTAAACCGTAGATCCGATTCCAGTGAAACTTGGACCTAAATTCATCTAAATTCAAACCCAATCTTTGACACCAAATTTGCTATTTTATAATTTTATTTGAATTTATTCAAATATAGTTTGAATTTATCTTTGCCTTTTCAAATATTTTCTTTTTAACCCAAAATACCCTTTAGCCACTAAAAAGCCGTCGGTTGGAACTTTACGCCTTCCATGGGGACATTCGTGTGGTCTATTGGCCCCGACGTCGGACCGTTGGTTGTAAAGCCCGGCAAAACCAATCCTAAGGTCGAAGTGCTGCTCCTGGCACCCCACGCCTTGATGCGTACAGCGGTCGGAGCTTCACTATTCCCTCGACCTCCACAGCACGCCGCACGGTTAGCTCTCGGGCTCTGTGTGTTCCTAACCGCTCCGCCGCCACTCACGGTTGTCGAAGTAACACTTCCGCCCCACTAAACCCACACAAACCTCCTATCCCTCTAGCTGTTATGCTGTCTGTTGACACCGGCTAGAGAAGATACCAATTCTAGTCGTTATACTGCCCAACTCTAGCAACGACTAGCAAACACCCAAATCCCAGCCGATATTCATCCTACCTCGATATCGGCTTAATCAAATGAAACAAACCCTAGCCAGCCTGCTATCCAAACTCCATACCAACCATTTACCCTTCTACTACCCATAGCCTATGCATGAAATACGAGCCGATATGGTTTTCTATTTCAGCATCGACTCGAGAACAACTAAATCCTAGCCATTCTTCTACCAAAGCCCAACCTCGACCAATGCTAGCCACATATCCACTTAGCCAGTCAGATTATTCAATATATCCCCTATTCTCCAAGAAACCAAAAACCACACATAAAATATAAGTGACAATTGTTACTTAATCCCCTCTAGCCTCAAACCCTTTAGAACCTACCCATATTAGCCCAGTAATCCCTACACCCTATAAAGGAGATAGGTTATACCCTAAACCCTAGCCCTTTTTGCTGTTTATCGTCTTCTTGTTATTTTATGGATTTTATTGAAATTGGTCCTTCCTTTTCTCTAGTAGAGTCTATTATATTTTGGAGGCAACCTGTGGTATTTCTAGCATCGGATAATCAGGTTGCCTATCTCAGAGTTATTTGCGTTGAAGCAAGGCAAGTTATTATTCCTCCCCTTGAACATAATTACCCTATATTCTATATCTCTATTCTATGCATTAGTCATTCATGATTTTGAATGCATAACCTGAACATATAGCAAACCAGATATATGCTAGATTTGCTTAGCCCTGCCTAGTTAGTCTGCATAAAAATATAATGAACTTAGATTGGGACAGTACGTAGGAATTGGTTGATTTCCGGGTGGCTAGTACTGTCTCAGTCGATATAGTTATTACCAAGTACTTATGTCAAACGAACGAGTACGACCGCAATTCTAGAATGGGGACAGACCTTGCAAAGTAGGTTATCTAGCAAAGGTGGTACCTCTGTACAGTGGTTCTTATTTAAGTCCTCGCGTAGGAGGCAAACATATGCCGCGAAGGGCAAATATAACATTTACCGAGGCGCAGGTAAATGATTTGTTGAGCTCAAGTGTGTGTGTATTGTGAAAACCTGGTTGAGATGACGGGGGTCTCTCAACCAGTTCCTCTAAAAAAAACCTCGGGAACGCCAGAACTCCTCTCGCTGCTGATAACGTTACGTTCAGAGCGCATGAGGATGAGAGTTCATGGAACAGGTGCCACTGATGTTAGTAACCGAAAAGCTTTGCCATGACTAAGCTAATGAATATTGGCATGCCATGGATTGCGGGTAAAGCGTACATTTACTGCAGTAAAGTAAACCTGAATCTATTCGAATAGCCGTGCTCATGGAATTGAGTATCGGGACTCATATGGTACTTTGGTTAGAAACCTAATTCAAGATTTTACTAAATGCTGCTGCATTTAAAATATCAGGCTTTCTATTTCTATATTCTCTGCCTTCTGCAAGTAACCGTAATCCTACTCAAATATTACTATTTCATGCATTCATTATTGAATATAATAGCTTGCTTTATACTCACCCTTGCTTCAAACCCCTTTTTCCAGAGTTAAATTGAAGTTCTTGCTGAAGCCAGGAGTTCAATCATATAAGTTAGTCTTATTTCAACCTTGTTCTCAAATCTAGATTAGTTAGATGGTTTAAGTCTATAGCAAAACCTTAGAGTTGAGTCACTCTATAGCTTCTGCTGTAATAGTTAGCCATAATCTTGTAAATTCCCCTATTATTTTATGTAATAACATCTCCTTTGGAGCCTTGTTTAAATGTACGCAATGAAGATCCAGATTGTTGAAGCTGTATCAATCTACTGATCCAGGGCTTGATACAGTTAAACATATCGGTTTCCGAATCATTAGTTTTGGGAGCCGACATGGACAGTTGACTATCTTGCCAAGCGGTGTTTGCCTCATATCCATACAAAATATTTTGGTCAATTGTGTTTTCAATAGATAAGTTTAGACCTTGATCTTGCAAAGGTTTGTATTATTTTCCACGCTACCTGATCATAATACTCAATCCTTCTCTAGTTTGTGGTCAAGAGCAGTGAAAGGGTTGAGAAAGAATGAGAAAAATGGGCTCAACTCGATGATTATTTTGATTGCTTGGGAGATTTTAGAAACATCGAAACGGCTATGTCTTTAATGGGACTACTCCTAGTGTGGAAGTTGTTCTCTAAGCAGTGGCTAATGAGGGTGCCCTTTGATGTTTGGCTGGAGCATCAAGGCTATCTGAGCATTTTGCTATGGAAACAGTGCTTGCTCTGTAGGGAGGTCGGCGTGGGCATTTGTTTGTCTTTTTGCGTTTCGTGTCTGTCATGAGAACTTGGTGATATGTTTCACCCATCACCTTCTTTCTCTCATAATGAAATGATATGCAAATCTCATGCGCATTCGAAAAAAAATATAGTTATTAGAGAGGCTTAAGGCAGATATATACCCCAACTGATTCATCCAATGAAAATAGTAATCGCTAATTTCCCATGCTTAATTGCAACAGGTAATAAATTACGGATTTCACTTGATTTTCAACTTATTTGTTCTTCTTCGTTCTTTCATTTACTCAGCTATTTCCTCGTTCCAAAATGTAAGCATTTCTAGGTAGTTTAGCTAATAGTAGGTTCAAGGGAAACTAACGATTTCCTTTCAGTCATCTCAATAGTCAAATTTTAAATTTTGAAGAGAGCATTACACGTTGAACCACCTTTTATTACTGAAGTTTTACTTTAGACTACCATCTATCCAGTCTTTTCACTTTGGTCGCCTATCCGATCCTACTCACATCGTCGACTGGCATTGAAGCACCAGGAGAGGCCATCGTGCTGATCAACTTCCCATGAGAAGTATAGGCATAGCTAGTTGAATAAATGGAGCACAGAAGAAAGGTTTAACTATTGGGATTTTATATAAGAGTAAAATACATGGCGGGTCCTTAAAGTTGAGTGCGGGTGTCACTTATATCCATAATCTTGTAAATTGCACATTTAGATCCACCATCTTGTTTTAAGTGACTCATTGAGGTCTAAACCCCACTTGACCGGCTCTGAGCGCCGACGTGGCACGCCACGCAAGCACCAAATTGCAAACAAGCCCCTCCGCAACAGTTGCGCCATGGACAGCACAAAAATCCCCAAATCCTTTGCCGTAGTCATGTCGCGCCGTCGCTGCTACCGACGGCGCCACGAGCGCCAGTAGCAAGCAGCACACTAGCACGCGACTCACGTGCGAGTTGCGGCAGCGGCGGCGCACAGGAGACGACAGGTAGAGCATGGAGGCGAGCGCAGGCGGGCAGGCGTCGGACGGCGGCGTCGTGGAGACACTGGGATCCGTAACATCGCGGCTGCGTCAGGATCCTGCTGCCGCACTGCCTCTCACCAGCTCACCAGCATAGCGGCATTGAGAATGGTGACGGAGGAGTGGAGGACGACGCTCGGGCGGCGGCGGTGGCGGCAGAGGCAGAGGTTGCTCGGGCAGCCGTCGGCGGAGCGGAGGAGGAGGTAGCGCGAGCGGCCGGCGGGGAAGGCGGGGCTCGCTCGTGCAGCCGACAGCGGAGGCGGAGGCAAAGGCAGGTAGCGGCGCGCACGACAGCAGCCATGGTGGAGAGGTGGAAGTGTCGACGCGACAGGCATGCCGAAGAGGCGCAGCACCCAGCGCACGTCACCGGCGCCGACGGCGGGCACCGGATCTCCCTGCCACCGACGCCTCTTCTCTTGTCGCCCGCCACCGACACCTCCTCTCTCGCCGCTCGTGACCGATGCCTCCTCTCCCGCCCCCACTAACTCCTCCTCTCTCGCCGCTCGCCACCGAGGCCTCCTCTCCCGCTAACCACCAACGCCATCCTCCGCACCCCCAGGTTGAAGATGACAATGACGAGCTTGGGCGCGGTGGCAGCGATAGAGTCTCGGAGCCTCGGAGTGGAAGGGCAGAGTCGACGACGCCGCGTGGGAGGGCAGCGGGGCCGTCCCCGTGCGCCGCTGTCCATCGCCCGCCCCTCCGCGTAACCGTTCACTGCTCGCCACCGACGCCTCGCCGTATGCACCTACTGACCTGCGTCCGTGAGAGAGAGAGAGAGATTTTGGAAGAGGGGAAGCAACAAGGGGGAATGCAAATATGTTGTCACGCTGGACTGCCATGTAAGCCAGTCAATCCGGTCAGAGGTCCTTTGGACCTCAATGAGTCAATTAAACAGGATGGTGGACCTAGATGTGCAATTTACAAGATTATTGACCTAAGTGAGACTCGTGCTCAACTTTAAGAACCGGCCGTGTATTTTACTCTTTATATAATTTAAGACTTTGTCTGTATAGTATCAAATACTTTTGCATCTACAATAGACACGATCTTTTATAGTCTAGTCTTTTGCATACACACACACATTTGTAGATGCCATATGTTAGCACTGAAAACGTTTTTTTTCCTCTCAAAGTCTCTTGGTTTGTTGTTGAGTTATAGCTGCCACTCACGATCAGGATGGATGAGCAAACATGCATATTGTACGCACACCGTGACACTGCCGATCGAGATTGGAAGGCATCAGGAGTTGGAGCTTGCGATTAATCTCATATACGTCCACCGTCTGGATCGTCCTTCCGTCATGCCTAGGCATATGGAGAAGTCGATCAAATCATATGTTCTCCATCAGGCCTCTAGTGGTGTTATGGGATACATTTGATAGCAGCCATTCCCGCCAGCAGTATACTACGTAGTTCTACTGTCGTTTTCTCGTCTCATTGACATTCACAATTCAATCGTTTTATCCAATGCAGCAATGGATTACTACATGTTTCATAATTCTGATTTTTTTTTTGAAACTTTTGTGCCCTTGAGATACCAGGAGGTACTCCCTCTATCCCACTCACTAAGACATACACGCACTTTAAAATTCGACACTTTAAATATTAGACCAATAAAATATTTTATTTTATATTAAATTTTATTTAATAAAGATAATATCATTGGATTTTCAATCAAATTTACTTTTATATGATTATGATTTTGTTGCTATAAACATTACAATATATGAGAAATTTAAAGTCAAATATTAGTTTTAAAAGAGTGTGTCAAGTTTGACCGCGCTAAGTGGAATGAAGGGAATACCAAATATTTGACATTTACAGTACCACATGTTTATTACTGCATGGAGGTAGTAAATGATAGGCCACAATTTACCCCTATATAGACATACAAACTTGCTTGTTCAGGCTATGGCTTTGTCTCTCGAAATCTCAAGTTTGTTGTTGTTGATTGCTACTGCTGCTAGATGCTCGATCAGGATCACCTAACATATTGTGCATGGAACTGTGCTGCGATTGAAAGGCATCAGGAACTAGAGCTCACCACCGATCTCATGTGGGACAGCAATCTCCTGTTTCAGTGCTTCGACCGTGTATCCCCATGATGACTAGCGCAATCACTCTAGAACTGACAAAATCACGGGTCACACCTCTTCTTTAACATGCCATGCTCACTTCATCTGGAGAGGGAGCTAATGATATTCTGAGGGCAGCTCTCGCTGTAGCTATCGCACTTTGATCACTGGTTAGTCAAGTGCAACGTTGGGAACAATCCTGACAACAATTAAGCATACTGCAAAGGGATTCTAGTATGGTCTGCATTTCATTCTTTGCAACAAAGAGATCATCGTTTAGTGTTTGAGCCCGACAAGCAGAGTGAGTTAAATATATGACTTAGTGTTTAATTAGTGGCAGGACCTTTGTGAGATGTTGAACACTAGTTCAAGATGGTCGTCTCATCAATAGATATAGTTTCATTTTGATGAAAATCAATGGATATCTTTTAGTTCCTTGACATTCTATTTATTTGGAATGGAGAGAAAAAAAAAAGGTGTTTCTCACGTCACTTGGATGCCAATTAATTTGCTGAGACACAATGTGCACAACTACTGTTTGGTTTTTGGTCATATCACTGATCTGCTTAAATTGTGTTCATTTAATTTGCCAGTACAGATTCAGAAATTGGAATTTACACTGTTGAATGTCAACAGGTTATCCAATGGCACTCGCTGTCCAAAAGTAATAGTGACCAGTACAGCAATTTTGAATAGAGAATGGAAAATGACAAGGACACCATTGCATATACATAATGCAAACTGTCGGAAAAAAAGAAATAAAATGAGTATTGCAAGAACAGAGAATGTTCAGATACCTGTAAAACAGTTTAAATTGAAGAAGTTTCCATCTTCCAACTTCCAAGAATCAACCATGACAGTCTGATAGCTCCTACGTCAAGGTCTAGGAGGGTGGGAATGGGAAGAATCGAGAGCTGAAGATTGGCAAAAAGTTATATCTAGTCTGAACCTGGGCATCAGGATGATAAGCATGATCCATATGATATATGCGTAATAAGTGATCTAGGCAAGATGTAACATATCAGTATTTTGATTTGCTTTCGCTGCCTTCGTTCCAAAGAAAAATAGTTTGCTAACACAACTTCTGGTTCTTCACTACCGAGTCGTATATTGTAAAAACTAGAGGATGGGGCGCGCCACTGGCGCGCCGCCTGGAGAGAGCTGTGGTGTAATACGGTATTGTTATTTTGGATAGCAGATTGTAATTAGGAAGAGTTCATAAGTAGATGCCACAAAGAAAGTAGTATACGTACATAGCAGCAGATAACATCATCAGCATAGGCTAACTCACTTGAGTCTGAATTACCAGATGAGCAATACATGTATTTAGTAAGATACAAACCAACAAAAACCGCCAATAAAAAAAGATTACATTCATTTCCAAGCAAAGCAAATCTCAGGAAACACTTCAGGCGAGGCACCAAAACTCTCCAGGAACTACTCCAATCCAAGCATGCAACCTTGCCTAACAAAGAACTTTATGAATCCCAGATTATTTGTAATAACAGAAGATCTACAACAGGGTACAACCATTCCATCAGAGCCAGGAGACAAGATCCAAAGAACAATTGGCACAGCGTGTTAATCCCGCTAATGAAGAGCAGCAACAGCGCCTGGATCACCCGACCCTTTTCCCCCTGATATCAAGACAACAAAATATAAGCCATGTTCATCAATTCTGACATGCAAAGGCATCACAAAATGATAGTAGTAACACGCTAAATGTCCTCTTGACATATTCAAATGTACATGCCAACAAACGGAATGAACCAAAGCTAATATAGCGAAATAGTACTTTTCAGGTTATTTTTGGGGAGTAATCACCGAGTGCAGATAAAGAGTAGGGAAAAATGTAGGAAATACACTTTTCATGCAACACATCAAGACCATTTTGCTCGTGATGCAAATCAAATCGAAAATCACATCTGTTTAATACATAAACCCACTCCAATGGTAAAAAACTTCCTAAACATCAGAATATCAATAAATATAAAAACATATAATCAAATATGCAACCATCTAGCAACAAGATTTAGCAATGGGATGCACAGTTACTCATGAAGCCATGAGGATGCAACTATCTTAATACACAGGTAAATCTAGGCTGCACACAACCTCATAAGGACCTGCTTCATTGCGGGGATGGCAGGCCAGTATAATGGAAACTCTCAGTGTAACAACGGCGTACGATCCTTGCATCAGAGCCAGAAGACAAGGCCCGAAGACCAGTTGGCGCAGTGTTTATTCCGACAATGAACAGCAGCACCTGAATCATCCGAGCCTTCTACCCCTGGTACGAAGACAACGAAATGCAGGCCAAGTTAATCAATTTTGAGATGCATAGCAATCACAAAATTATAGCAGCAACAAATTTGATCTCCTCTGACATCATCAAATGCGCATGCCAACAAGCGAAATCAACCAAGACTAAGATAACAGAATAGAGCACTTTTTCAGGCGATTTTTCGGCACAGTATAAAGAGGAGGACAAACAGTACGCAATACACTTTTCATGCATCACATCAGGGCGATTTCGACATAATGCAAATGAAATCCAAAATCACACCTGGCTGATCACATAAACTACATTCTTTCCAGGAAAGCAGAATGAAACTCATGAGCATGTAAAAATCCTAATGCACAGGTAGAGCTAGCTTGGACACGACTCTAGAGGGATTGAATTGTGATCCATGAACAAGTAGGGATAAAAGATGAACATTTGAGGTCAACAAGGGCAAGGAGTCAAAGGATTAGGGAGGATTATGTTAGAATTACCTTATTTAGGTCATATTACTATAAAGTTCTTGAGAAAAAAATGTTTATCAATCATCTATAATGAGGTGGATAGAGCTATGTCAACTGCAGAATTATGTTAAACACCACAGCACACCAATTTCAGGATAATAGCGAGACATTATAGGAATTAATAAACATAAATTGATGTTGGTACACAATTAATAAGGCTATTGGGATATCTTTATTATATGAGGCTATAATAATCCTCTTAAATCTTTGTAATCCTAGCGTAAATTGCGTTGATGCTTTTGGTTCAGCTAATACCGGTTACCAGAGTAACATATTGAGCCTGCATTACAATCATTGTTGCTTGGAAAATATATTAAGCTAAGATTGAGAATAGCACAATAGGGTGCTTCACTGGAATGATCAATTTATATTTTGATTTCACGAAATAGTAAAAACAAAAATACTCCTACAACACATTTAACCTGTCCAACCAAAATAGTGCATTCAGAAACCATGTTTTGCAGAGCAATAGAGCATCATAATTCACCAAATATACTAAACATTTCAAGATTAGCACAACAACAACTAATTTCAAGGCTTGAAGGATGTTCTCTGTAAAATAAAAAAAAACACCTTTTTCTGCAAGGAATAAAGTAAACCATATATGTGTGAGGCTATGACAGACCTGTTCAGCAACAAATAGTTTGGATAAATGAACTGAATTTATTTGGTGGCATGAAGTTGACAGTTAATATTTCGAGTATTGCTGAATGAAAAATGCCTTTAGTTGATCACTCTGTCTAATTCTGACATCAATTAACCCAAACCAAAATATCAAAGTTATTGCAAATAAGGACAAATAACATTTAGCCCTGCTTTTGTTGATCTAAGTCTCTAACAGCGTACAATCACAAGTGGTAAATCGATTAATTCAATGTAAGGAGAACCATTTTAAGTTAAGCTTGAAAGGAAGAGAAAATTTTACAGGTGCATAACATAGAGAACAACAGGTCAATGATCCAACCAAATTCGAGCAGGTTTTATACATTTTGAAGTCAGCGGAAGTGCATAGTCCAGAACATAGATAACTCACCTTTTACTTGAGTTGCCAAGAGCTCAACAGTACAGCCTCATCCTTGCCCTTCAGCTTCTTTGCTGTTACCATCCTACAACAATGGTATATGTCATGAGCATTTGCTGAACATTCCCTCAGCATTTCAAAACAAGGCTGTTGAAAAGGAAAGAAAGTTGAATACTTAATCACATCAAGATAAATCTTTAAAGTATTCCCTAAAATCTAAACAAAAAAAGTATTTGTACCATAACTAATGTACATACTCCGGAGCATGACGCTGATAATGAGTTATATGAACAAACTAATGTTCAGGAACAAAGACAAGGGAAACAATATATTAATGAAGCGCTGCTACACATTTGTGCTATTTCATAACCATATATGTACATGGCACTGATTGCATGAGAAACTACAAAACTAAGTATGACAGATCTTTCTTAATATCCATAGCCATGATACCAAGTAAAACTTTTTCATAATACTTTTGTATAAACACAAGTAGGTCATATTAATTAAGCACAGAGGAAAGTTTTGCCAGAATTCTATATAGAAACTATTAAGCAAGGAGTCACCAAATGGAAATCAATCATTACGAGAGGATGTATAATAAGCCAACCATGGATCAATAAAAAACAAATCAGTGGAATAATAAGATGTGCCGGCTCAAAGAAAAAAGCACTCGTACCTAAAGAGCTTGCCGCAGCATTTGGATCAGGAGTCTTCAGCATTTTCATACATTTGTTGATCCTATCTCTTTACCTGCTAACTGCCACATCCAATTTATTACTAATCTCCCCACATTTTCCCTTCTATGTTTCTTTGTCTTGTGTCTCCAAAATCTTGCCAGTTTCCTTACATTTGTGCCTCTCAAATGACACCTCAACCCCACATTTGCCTCTCTTTTAACTCCCACATTTGCCTCTGTTTAACTCTTTGCCATTTGTCAAGTCCAAGTTCATGCCAATATCTTCAAATTTGTCTCACGAGTCGGTATTGCCAATCTTAACATTACCTGTTTGATTATAGTATCTGTGCAGCTCTCCGAAAACACCCCAAAAGTAAAACTTATTACATTTTCCTGTTAAATTGGTAATTATACAAAAAAGGTTAGATGATAAATTTGTACATGCATACTACTTTTTAAAATATTTAACAGGGACTGTATAGCTATGCACATGCAAACTCCATGTGATTTCATCTGGTTGTAAGAGAAACTATTGCGACAAATCAAAAACAGGTATTACAAAAAAAATTGAATTTAAAAAATATTCATACAAATAAGATTACCAAATAGCAACTTTGAGAAATGGATGCATCACAGTATCAGTTTGTTTAAGCATACCAAGTCCAAGCATTGTCAGTTATGGGGGGATACATGACATGGTTTATAATGGAAATGGGACATAAAAAGGATCATGGAACATATTTTGGTATTCTTGGGTAAACAATTTGGATGAAAATATCAGCACCTAGTAGCACCAGCCTTGGTTCGTAACCCAATATGCAAAGAAATATTTTTCAGGAGATGGTCAGAACTCCCGTTTGGTCTGCAAAGAAAAAGAGAGAAAACACACAAATGCAGATAAGCTTCATGCACACAGCTGCATCCTGTAGTTGATAAAAAGAGTTTAAACTCCAAAAGAACTCGCATTCATTTTTTCAGGATAAATTGTTGAATTGGTTTTCAATTGCCGGTAACTGAAATGAATACTCCCCCCATCCCAAAATATAGTAATTTCTAGCATTCGTAATCCATCCCAAAATATAGCAAATTTACCACCTACATTCTCTCAACCAATCAAAACCTTCTTTGTTTAATTTCTCCCCCTACCTCCTTTTCTCAACAAATCATAACATTGACCCATTTAATTCCACCTACTTCCTTAATACTCGTGTTTAACCCCAAAACTTCTTATATTCTGGAACGGAGGTAGGACTTGTTAGTATATGACAAATGATATGACTGAACCCACTAAAATCATTGGTGATACTTCTGAGGATTAATTTCTATCATGCCACCAATTAAACATCTGAAAACTTCCTTATTTTATAAATAATGAGATGGGTCCACACCAGTAGGTCCACATGCCATTGAGACAAGTGAGAGGAACAAAAGGAAAGTCAGTAGAAGAATCGATTTGAAGGGTCATACCTTTGAAGAGAACTAATGAAGCACAGTCCAATATCTTGCCCTTCTGGAGGTTTCATCTTGAATGTTTTTGGCCACAGATGAGAAAGAGATCTAGCCTGCAGCTTTAATATTTCGGCCATTAGTTTTGAAGGTTCATATACTTGGGCAGAAATTTCGAAAGGGAAATGGGCTTCAAGTCCATCACAAATATGTGTTAGCTCCAGTCACTTCAAATTTACCCCTAAAGAACAGTTGCTACTATATAAATGGAAAGGATTGTTTGTACTACCCGTGGAGATCAAGTTATCTAAAAAACATCTTTGTATGTATATAAGAATTAGTATGACACTTTGTCGTTGTGCAGTTAATTATATGACACCTCAACTATAATATGCACAGTCAGCAAAGGCTTTGATCCACCTATCTAGATATTTGCTTTTAATCTGGAAGTAGTGTGTCAAAGAAATAGTGGAACCCTTACGCAAAGGTGTCATAGCCTTTAAATCATTAACTATGTTGATTGTATAGATGATCTTACAAGCCATAAACTTGAGATTTTAACCGTACTATATAGAACTACTAAATCCATACAGTTGTAGAAAATCCAACAAGCGATGAATTATTGTATGGAAGGACATGGGTTGAATAAAGGTAATTAACTTGAGAATCCCATGCAAAAAGGAACCGAACACATTTAATTTGTCTAAAACACTAAATTATATGAAGGACTGAATTAGACAGATTCATTTATATAAACTCGCATTTAACCGGAATAAGGGCCATAATAAATAAACTCAACTTGAAACAATGGGAGCATAAAATTAACAAATCTGTAGTTCAGTGACCTAATGACTAGGAATACTCACCTCTTGATCTGTGAAAAGCCCAATAGTACAGCCTTATACTTCCGCTTTGGCTTCTTGCATTTACCATCCTACTGCAATGGTAGAAGGGGGAACACTCACAACAATAGTAAAGCATATATACTGCCTTTCATAGTAGTCAATGCTACCTCTAATAAATCAATTTTCTGGTGAATACATTCAGATAACAAGTGCATCCCCTAAAGTAAAAGAAGGAATGGAGGATAAGATATTTAATCAAAACAAATCAGCAACACAAAAAAAATTTTCACACTTACATAATTATTTTATAATAATTTAATAGTTAATTAAAATAAATAAGCAAAATCTTATCAGAGCTGATGGGGAGACCAAGATTAACTAAAGAATTCCCAGAGGATAATTTAGTATGTTGTGGCAGTACATGCACCGATGATCTTGCATAATACAGGTAAGCTAGTGATGTCATTTTATTAAGTATGCGCTTGTTTGCAGTGACCTGATCGCCACCCAAAAAAAAAATCAAAAGGTGTTAAGAATATTTAATATATCACTGCTTAATTTTTTGTCAAATATCTGATCATTGCTTAGTAACATAACATAGGATAATGGCTCGAATGTTTTACTGATCATATTCCTCATGTAGAGATCCCAAAATAGATATTTTTGAGTTGTATACAGACCCTCAAGCTAAAGTACAATCTGCAGATATAATTGTGCCGTAACGCCGCTTGTTGCAACTAAATGGACACCCACTTGATTGGAAGTAGTCAGTGCCTATCAACAAAGATAATGCAGGCATTAGGTGAATTTACAGATCTGACTGCCAAGGGCAAAATGTGCAGATAAATGAACTTAACACATTAGCAGTATTTAAAAGAATATTGATCTACAATTTTCATTACTGATGAAGGGGAAAAGGGGGGTGTATAGAACAATATATTTAAGTGGATCTGAAACTACTACCTTTCACATAGAGGTACCAAAGATGTGACCAAGAAGCAGCTTCATTCAGTAACAGCTGTGCTTTTTGTACACAAGCTATTCTCCACCGGCGAAGGTTTCTTGTCCCAGCAGACCTGAATATTGGATGGCGTTGACCAGTCCCAGATACCAAAGATTAGGCATCAGAGCTATGATAAAAATATTCATCTCCGAAACTTTCAGAATTTAGACACCAAGTATATTTTTTAGATAATGGAAGCTTCATTGAACTGATCATTAAATTACATCGAGATGATACAACTGTCCTAAGAACAATTCTGACCTCTGCATAATTGAGATGCATACAGCCAAGACACCAAATATTTGGACAGAATCTTTTAGCAGTCCAAAGGATAAGATTCCTTCACATATATATAATCAAAAAGTCCATGATCGATAAGACATAATGATGCTATGTACGAATTGATTACCACTGTTGTTAGACTTCTGTCCATGCAAAATGCAGGATCATCCTAAGATATTATCTGAAAAAGATGAGCTCTGGTGATATATGACGAGCTCCAAAACTTCTAAATGAACTCAACAAAACAAAATTAGTTCAGTTTAGTATTTTCTTTCTTTTTTTTTTGAGAACCAGTTTAGTATTTTCAGATTTACCCAAACAAATAGTTAAGCAAAGGCACTATCCTGTCATAGTATTCATATTAGCAAATAGTTTGAAAACAGATGTAACAATGATGTAACAGACTCAGCAATTTGTAGGACATAATCATATAAACATAGATTAGTTTGGTAACAAAGATAGTAAGTTTCAAACTTTAGGAAGTGTGCACCACGACAGTTCAGCTACAAATAAAAGATAAACAGATAAAAAATGTTCATGTCGCCTAAGCCAATTGCATGATTAGATTCTGAACTAAAATCTCCTCAAAGTGAAATTCCAAGTCGGCAACTCATAAGATTAATCAAATCAGGTCGTATCTGGACCAAGTAGTAACCAGATTTCCTCTTGGTCTTGCCTGCAGTTAAGTCAGGCTAGCTAACAATATTTTTAGGTCCATTTGGCACAGACGACATTGCACCCCATCAGCATGTGTCAAATAGCACAATATTTTACCTCCCTGGAAGTATCACCACCAAAATCCATCTTTGTGGATCAGGCCATCGTCGATGATGGAGCTGCTGATCTTCTACTCCAACTCCAATACCATAAAGTTAGTGACTTGCCCTGAAAAAGAAATAAATCTAGAAGATATAAAACATATTTAGAATAAAAGGATGCTAAAATTTTTACCAGAAAGAGCTGACTTCCTAGGTACAAATGTAGTAGTACAATTTTATTACTTGCACGCTGAATACTCTTTAACCTCACAATCAGAATAAATAATCAATGCCAATATATTTTGTTCCTCTTAATTATGATCAGTATGTGGATAAATGTATTACCCGGTAATAATCCGCACATATTTACTAACCCACCCGTCATGATTAGTGAAACATCTAGCAACTGATTTCACAATAGATTACTAAAAAAGGGGATATTCCTGTACAGTTTCATCAAGCCACTGAATTATCTTACTTTTGTCCCAAGATAACATACATGGCATCATCTACTAACCACTTATAGTAAAAGTACCGGACAAAATTGAATGTCTAGGTTTCGGTATAAACAAATAAAATGGCTAGGTTTAAGAGGTATAGAAGGATAAGCAGTCAGGAAATGAAGACATTACACCATAATGGAGTGTTTCTTAAGCATTGTATTACTACCTAATAGTTTGTTCTAGAGTGAAAAAACTGTTGTTAGTATCATCTAAAACTTTTATCTAGAAATCATCAATCAAGCAGAAAGCAAAGGAAAAGGCACAAAAATATTTCATCACATGAGCACGTATTAGCTAAGAACTGCATTGATTTATAAAGTGAGTACATAATATATCCCTTAAGACATTAGCTTAATGACTTGTTACGGTCTTATTTGTAATAGGAGCAGTTCTAGGGGCTTCTCTGATGTACATTTCCACTGTTACAAGAATAAAGATGGCGGATGAAGAAAGTACATAAAAGATCCATGTGGAATCAGAATTATCGGTGGTCAAACGAAAAAATTACAGGGTAAGGTAAAGATAATTGTCTATCTTAGAAATGGAAATTGGATGTTTCTGGTGAGTTCCAAATCCTTATAGAGATCATACAAATCAGATTAGACCTTTTCTCTGATATTCTAAAGATCAGTAGTTCTCCGTATACATTTCTATTCAGGGGGCGGGGGCGAAGCAAAAAGGAAAATGCATGCAACTCTATAGAAGAAAAAAGAAAATGAACCCACACAATGATTATGCATACCTGGTTCTTCTGTACTTAACATCAAGCTTTTTTCATGTCAAAGAACTACATTAGTTCAAAAATATGATTTGATCAAGATCAAATATAGTAGATCAATCAATGATTCAGCAAAAGAGAAAACTGGTAAATGATATATTTTTACCATATCCACGCAATTTATGATGCCATCATTGACTGCACAAATCTTGAAACTTTCCATCAATGCCTAAGAGTAATCCCATTATATTGCCATTCATCATGAACAAGAGCAATCAGATAAATGGTTCTAACCAACACCACTCAAAATTCAGAACTTACAACTGAGGTCAGCCATACCAGAGATAAAGCACACTGTATAAGTTAGCTTTTAGATGCTGCACTGTCAGGCTGCACACACAGTTATAACATTAGTAAAAATGAGCCAAACTAATTTAGATAAAGCAGATGATATACCACAAAAGGTTGTGCATACTACCTGACAAGTGACGACCAAGTGACCAACTAACCAGTAGAGCAGTTGACTGTAGCAGTTGCTCCAAGAGCCCTTCCTTGTATAGGTTCTGTCAAGAGATCATCAAGTTATGAGTGTTTTTAACAGTTCAACATGCAAACATTTAAGTATTTAACCACCATAGCATTTCCTTCAAAATATTACAAATTTTTTCCCCTGGGATAGTAGATTTCTTGCTTAGAGGTCCCTTTATTAAGGCTATTATTGTTCATACAATTTTTTGAACTTCTTAGTTCTATTGACATGGACAAATACATACGATCAATGAAATAAGGTGTAGCAACTCCGTGATGATACAGAATAATCCAAATGCTAATAGCTTAGGAAAAATAGCCTATCCTGCATTAAATGGAATAATGAATTATAACTCACCTGAAAGTGGAGGATTGATGGTTTCACTAATCTAGTTTTGCAGCGAAATTCATAATACTTGCTGCTCTTATCCACTTGCTTGAAAAACTGCATCACTGCATCAGCCATCAGGGGAAAAACAATTTAAATCAAAGGCAAAACATTTAGATCCTTGGAGGTAAAATTATCAAGGTATTTTTAATCGAATATTACAGCCAAACTTTAACAGTGAAACATAATTGGTTGTTTGCTTAGCAGCCGCATAGAGCACACTCACACAATGGATGATCCTTTTCGGCTCTTGTCACGCATCGATCATGGACATATGCTGTAGGTCGAGACCGCCGCAACTGTGATGAATCACCACACAGACACTTCCTCCTAGTTGACCCTAAACAGCAACAGCTGCAGAAAGAAGACATGAAACATGGAAGAAACATGCAGCAAAGGTGCATCTAAGTTTCTCTAACCATTGAAGCAAGGATTCACACCTCTAGCAACCGTAAAGCCACCGGACCACCGCACTGATCCGGCCGCTGTAGAGCTGCTGCTTCACCACGGTCGCTCCACGGCGATAGCCCGACTCACCTGCAGCCCCCTCACACGTCTTCGCGCTAGGGCCTTGGGTATCCGGAAGTAGCCTCAAGGGAAGGCAGGGTACAAGAACTAAGATCATCACAAGATCAAATTAATACTGCATATCAAAATCTACCTTTTTCTAATTGACTAATCCAGCCAGCAAGCACCAATCTCGGATCACCTAACCACGGGCTCTGAATATAATCGAACTAATTTTCAGTCAAGACACAATTAGAATAGGAAATATTGCCGATCCCTAACAATTTTATCCATGAAAAGAACAACAATGGCAGCCTGAGAGAGAGAAAGATTAATCTAAGGAGAGATGGGAGAGAAAGGGGAGGAAGGCCATCTCTCTGCTTTTGCCTGCCGGAGCATATGCCATGGTCAACCGCCGCTGGCCATGACCGTGGAGGCAGCGAAGACGGTGGAGACGGCGCTGGGTAAGGAACTAACGGCGGCCGCCGGGCATGTTGCCGCCAAGCTCGTTGGCAGATTAGTGCCATTATCAAGCTCTAGCCTGGATCCACGTTGCCGTTGAGGTCGCCATCTGCTTCGAGCCGCCATGGAGCTCGTCAGCCAGACCTGCGCGACCACCAAAATCCACGCCGCCGTCGATGATGGGATGTGGGGCGGGCAACGAGGGATGATGGGAGCGGCAGGAAGAGGTCCCCAATAGATCTTGAAAGGCACATGCCACCTGTCTAGCACCGGAGAGGGCCAACCTAGAACTGCATCAAACAACAATGCATCACAAAGCAGGACATGGCCGACTGAAAACAAAGCGTCACACAGCAATGCATCACAAAGGAAGCCTCTCTTTTTCAATCTGGCCTCTCGGGAGCGAATTGGTACCTCCTGACCACCGAAGAGATTGAGCCGGCCGACCTCCCCACCACTGGCGCTAACCCGCTCCCGCTCCTCGGCATTCTTCTCCAGGCAGTTGTCGACGGTCAGCAACTGCACCTCACCACCCTGCGTGTCCAGGATGCACCGCGAGTCCCCGACTGACTCCACCGTGACCGTGAATCCATTGATGACCACCAGCGTTGCCGTGGTCCCCGACACCTCCCCCGAGATTGCCATGAGAGAGTGCGGGGGTCGTCGCCATCACCACCGTCTCGCTCTCCGCCGCCACATCCGCCTCCTCCTCCGCCGCCGCCGTCACCATCGTCGTCCTCTTCGCCGACCGCCATCACCACCGTCTCCATCTCCCACCGCCGCGTCTGCCTCCTCCGCCGCTGCCGCCGTCGCCATCGTCGTCCTCTTCGCCGACCGCCACCGCCTCTTCCTCCCTTCGACCCCCTCCGAATCCCCGTCGGAACGAGCGGGCGGCGGCGGCTAGGGTTTGGGGGGCCGGAGATGGTGGCGGGGGCGGGCGACGGCGACGACGACGCGAGGCGACGGGGAAGTCGGAGGCGGCAGCGACCGTGGTGGCGCGAGGCGACGGCGACAACGATGGCGGAGACGATGGTGGGAGAGGGGTGGCGACGACGACGACGACGACGATGGTGGAGGTGGCGGAGGCGATGGCGGAGGCGGCCGTGACGAGGCGAGGCGACGGCGACGGCGATGGTGGAGATGGCGGCGCGAGGGGTGGCGGCGGCGGCGGCGGCGGCGCGAGCCGCTCGGTGGCGGCGCTGGAGAGGGAGAGGGACAGGGTGCGGGCGGCAACGGATAGGGTTTGGGGTGTTAGGTAGTGAACGCCATTTTGCGAAAAAGGCCCTACGTATTCCACTTTTACATATAGGTCCTTATCCGCTAGAGGTGGCCAAATGGGCCGGGCCAAACGGGCCGCCCGGGGCACGGCCGAACCTGTAGCAGGCACGGCCCGGCACGGCCTGCTACAGTAACGGGCCGTGCCGGCACGGCCCGAGTAGCCGTGCCGTGCCAGCGGGCCGGCACGGCACGGCACGGCTACTGTAGCGGGCCGGCACGGCACGGCACGGCACGCCGGCGGCCCGTCAGGCGCGGACAGGGCGGGCGGCGGTCGAATGGGAAGGCGCCACGTGGCACTAACGGCTATTTGACCGTTCAAATTTGAAAATAACCGTTGTGAGGCTAAAAAATTCATAAAAATTTCGAAAAAATTCTAAAAAATCTCAAATTTCGCCCTATAAATAGGGCATGAACCCCAGCCATTTCTCCTCATCCCACACTCCTCATCTTGTGCTCTCAAGTGTTTTAAGTGCTCTCTTTGTTCTCAAGTGTGCATTTTTTTTGATTTTGACAAAATTTGCTCAAATTTTGTCAAAAATCAAAATTAGTTTCGTAGTTCAACAGTTTGATCGCAGAGGTTTGAAGAGCTCGCGGTTGGAAAGATGTAAGTAATATTCAAATTTGTGTATTATTTGTATTGTGTTTGTGAATTCAATAAATATTCGAAAATTTGTTTATGTCGGTTTAAATTTTCAGAATGGATCCGAACTTTCCATACCAGTCGCCGTCGTTCACCTTGGGTGATTTCGACCCCAACTACATGTCGGGGTTTGACGGTGCCTCCGGATCGGCTCCAACTCCACCATCTGTGGAGGAGGTACCGGTTCATACGGCTGTCGTTGAGGAGGTACCGGTTCAGGCGGAGACAGCTTCGGAAGGATTTTCCGGAACCGCGAGCGGAAGTGTTTCGACACACACCGGCTCGAAGAGATCGAGAACCTCCGGTGTGTGGCAAAGCTTCGACGAGATAAAGGAAACATGCCCCGACGGAAGGGAGGTATCGAAAGCCCGTTGTAGAATATGTAGGCAAATTTTATCTGCTCGTTCTTCTGGTGGTACAGGTCACCTCAAGCGCCATGCGGAGTCGTGTGCCAAGAAGCAAGGAATACAACTCCGGCAGCAGCAACTTATGGTAAACCCAGACGGTACGGTACGCAGTTGGGAGTACGATCCCATGGTTGCTCGGGAATCTCTTGTCCGGTTAATCGCCAGGCAAGATTTACCCATGAACTTTGGGGAGTCCCCTGCTTTTGAACATTACATTCAGCAATCTCATAACCCTAGGTTTAAAGCTGTGAGTAGGCAAACATCAACTAGAGATTTAGAGAATGTTTATCACAAGGAAGCAACTGCACTTAAGGAACTGTTTAGTACATGTACTTTCTTTGTTAGTGTTACTTCAGATATATGGAGTAGTAGAGCTAGAGAGGATTATCTTAGCGTAGTTGTTCATTTTGTTGATGATGATTGGCAATTACAAAAGAGAGTTTTAGGGCTTAGGTTAATAGATGTCTCACATACAGGAGAAAACATAGCTGAAAGAATTAGGGAAGTAATTAATGAATTTAATCTTGCTGATAAAATATTTGCTGTCACCCTAGATAATGCATCTGCTAATTCTAGGGCTATTGAAATATTGCAACCTTTATTTTGTGTGTATGCTCAATCTTTTCTACTCCATCAGCGTTGTGCATGTCATATAATTAATTTGATTGTTAAGACTGGCATGAAGAGGGTAGGTGACCACATCGATGCTGTTCGTCAAGCAATCGTGTGGTTAACTGCTTCTAACCCGCGGATTGCTGCATGGAAGAGGTTTTGCAATGCGGCCGGTGTGAAAGCTTGTAAGTTTGCCACCGATGCAGAGCATCGGTGGAATGCAACGTATTTAATGTTAAAAGTTGTTTTACCTTATAGTAGTTTACTTTCTGATTTTGTTCAGTCACGTGGTGGCCCAAGAAACAGTGACGGGTCTTCAGTACTGAACGAGCATGTTTGGGCAATTGTCCAAAAATTTTACCAATTTCTAGAAACTTTTTATGATTGTACTCTAACTTTGTCACAAGTTTATTATCCAACTGCTAATATAATTTTGCACAACCTTCTTGAAATTGCTACTTTATTTAAAGAATACGAAAATGATGACGTTCTAACTGAACCTGTCTTTCACATGAAACAAAAAAATTTGAAATATTGGAAAAATATACCTATGTTGTATGCTCTTGCTTTTGTTTTAGATCCTAGGTGTAAATTAAGGGGATTGTCTGCTATTTTATCACTTGTTGGAGATACTATAGGTGTAGATTATAGTTCTTTTTATACTGAGGTTAGACGTAAATTATATGAGGTTTTTGGAAGATATGAAGTAAAGTTTCAGGAAGTTCGCCAGCAGAGACCCCCTCCTATCCCCACTACAGGTAAGAAGAAGATACAGTGGGGTAGGATTTGGGATGGATCGTCTTCAAGTTCAATCCAAGGTGGTGGCAGTTCGTCGGCTACAAGTGGAGATGCCTCTTCGCATGTTGTGGCCGAAGAGTTGTCCGGTTATTTGGACAGCGACGCCATCCACCACGAAGCACAAGATTTCAACGTCCTCGGGTGGTGGAATGACCACAAGATAACATATCCTGTGCTTTCAAAACTAGCACGGGATGTGTTGACGGTGCCCGTGTCGACGGTGTCCTCCGAATCGGCCTTCAGTCTATGCGGCCGAATCATCGAAGACCGGAGGACGACTCTGCGCAGCGACCACGTCGAAATGCTACTAAGCGTTAAAGACTGGGAGCTTGCTCGACAACATGCCCAATACACTGCGGACAACCAAGAATTGGCCGCCCAGTTCGAGCAACTCTACCTGGATCCAGACCAACCCCAGTAGAATTTTGTTAGAAGTAGTTCTGACCTTTGAGCTGTACTCTTTTCTTTGTCATGGTTTTCTCATTTTCCCCTATGAGTTTTTACATGACAAAGTTTTTAACGAGGCAGCATGTATTATTGTATCCTGTAATGATATAAACATCAATAAAGGTCATTACTATTTTTAACAAATTCTTTTGCAATATTTTCGCAAGTGTGGATTTATCTTCAAATTATTTCAAAATAATGAATCACAATCTATATTTTTAAATTTTTCAACACAACAAAAAAATACCATTTTTTCTTTTTTTTAACATTAGCAAATCATTACTTTTTTAAAAAACTTTTATTTCCATTTTTTAAATACCATTTTTTCATTTTTTAACATTAGTAAATCATTACTTTTTTTTAAACATTTTATTTCCATTTTTAATTTTTTTTCCTTATACATTTCCTTTGCTTTTTTTTTAAAAAAAAACACTGTGCACTGCAGGCCCGTGGGCCGCCGTGCCCCGAACGGCCCGTGGGCCGCGGGCGTGCCGTGCCGGCACGGGCACGGCCCGGCCATCCACGGGCCGTGCTTGGGCCGGCGGCTCGGCACGTGGGCCGGCACGGCACGGCCCGTTTCATCAGCCGTGCCTAACGGGCCGTGCCGGGCCGGGCCGTGCCGCCCGTTTGGACACCTATATTATCCGCGGATTCTCCTCTCCAAAAACTGTTCGCTAGGGGCATATATGTTATTACATAAAACTGGAGGGCCTTTTTGAAAAAATACACTCGAGCACTGTAGTACTGTAGCAAATCGCTGACGTGGCATAGTCGAGCGGCCGCCCAGCCCGCTCCTGTTTGATACAGCTCCAACTCCTAAATTTAACTCCAGGAGTTACTCCTAAATTTAACTGTGCCAAACAGGCCCTCCCAGTTTCTAATGAGTGTTACATGTCTTGTACTGTTGATTTTCTCTTCAATTTCTTGGGATGATCATTTGACCAAATTTCTATAAAGGGCCTATTCATTCGTGGTTGCGACGCAGCTGGCACCAACAGTGCTGTGGTACTGCACATACGTGGCACAACCGCAGCCGGCTTGCTGAACAGGCCCGAAATCCAAAGATCTATCCTTGTTGAAATTTGTTCAAGGACAAACAAATTTAAACCTATTGGCTTCACTTTCAGTCTACGATGCTACTACAGGTGAGCATGATACTATGTTCAATGATACTGTACACTTAGAATCGGTACTAAAGGGTCGTGTGTTTTATGACCGAGCCAGAGATGTAAAACTTTTTCATTATTAAAAAAACAAATTTAAACCTGTGTCACTTGATATACTAAATGAAGAAAAAGGAAAATTGCTTATTGAATGTGGAAGAGCCAATACCATTACATTCCACATGTATGTAGGATCATGTGAAAAGAAATACGGTAGTGATGCACTGATGCAAAAATGTCTAAATTAATTATTTGCGACTGGAACAGCACGTATACACGACGAGAAAATCTCTTGTATACCTCAGAAATTTTAGCTAATCCCTTCCATGTCCCTAAATTTTTTTTACCTGTATACCCCAAAATTTGATTTTTTGCGCGATGCATTATCTATCACAGAATTTATTTTTAGATAGTGAAATAAAAAATATGTATTTATTTTTTAAAAAAGTCATAAAAAATGAAGAGCATTCATATAAGGATAGGACCACCAATGCTCACAATAAGTTTTTTTTATGAATGCTCCGGTAAAAACATCCATTGTCCTATTAAAATTTCAAATAAATATTTTAATTTATTACATTTGTTTTATTTTCAAAATTTATGTCAAAATTTTCTGCACTAATTATATTTAGTCTCATTAGTTTCATAAAATGCACATACTATGCACACAAACAAAATTTTCAATCGTTTTTCAAGTTTACATTCAAACCTAAAGCATCAAGGGCAAAAATGACATTTGCAACCAAACATAATAGCGAAATGAAGGAAAATGTAACAGTAGGGGCATGGAAGGGATCAAGTTAAAATTTCAGGGGTATAAAAGAGATCTAGTAATTTTAGGTGTACGAAGGGATTGAGTACACGGAGAATTT